ACGCAGGCGTTTTGCCAGCCCATGAATACTCCTTGGTTCGCAGAACTGTTGGGGATTTTACCTCGGGGGTCCCACAAAATGGCTGGTGGACCGAGGTCTCCACGGAAATGATGCTCACCAACGGGTCCGTAATGCCAGTCAAGATTTACCCAGTTGGCTTCACTGGGCAAGGCCTTGGTTGATAGGACGCCAGGTGGAAGTCAAACCGTATTTTGCTGCAGCCACGTAGTTTGGGGGCATGCTACTCGTAGTTGGTTGTAGCTTGAAGGCCACTCTCCAGAAATCTTTGCTGCATGTGTCGAGCAGCCACATTGCCTTTTCTGGACATGCACAAGCATTTGGCCGCTTGTAAAGCTTCGGAGGTTGTTTTGATCGATTTGTGCAAAACTTCGTTTTATGTGGCTCATCAGTTCTGAGCTGTGCTGGGTGCAAGGATCCACGCTTGCCTCCTCACATCTTCAACGCCTCGGCAAAAGCGTACAAGCGGTGTACGCAGAAGAAGGACAGCATGGACAGCCAAGCCCAGCCCTTCAAGCAGCTTTAAGTGGCATTTGTTTGGGCGAGCATGGAATTTCCCGCGCCTCGAGGGCCTTGGTTGAGTAAGCGGTGGTTGTCAAGCACACCCTCTTGATCTTTGGGCATTTTGCGTTCTCTCAATCATAGGTTAGTTAACCCCCCCCGTATCCCCCCCCCCAAAGGTTGGCCTGTTAGCAAGTTGCTGTTGGGCCCGTTAGTGCCATAGCCAAAGAGGGTGCCATCTATTGGAGCCCCCTGCAAAAAACAGCCGCTCAAATTGAAGGTGCCTAGTCCTTGCCGCTTTCGCACCTTTGCGATCCTCCAAGCACCAGGAGAGCCAAGTGCTGCTTCTGCTGGGGGAGCGTTGCTCCGGGAAGTCCGTCGCTTTTGAGCACCTCCTCGGCAGCTCGGGCCAAGAATCATTGAAGGCAAAGGCGTATGGATGGACCACATTCTGCACCAGTTGTTAGGTGGTTTATCCCGGTATTCATAGATTCATAGGGTGTAATTTTCCATCCCAGCTGGTGAGGATTTGTCCATCCTTGTTAGGTCAGTTTCGTGGAAAATAGACGGCCCTGGTTTCAGTGTGGTTCTGTACCAGGGCCGTCTTTTTATCCAAAGGACGTCATTTGTAGGGCCAAGCGCCGGTTTCGAGCGCCGTTTGAGCCTTGCGCTAGGCTTTCTGGGCACCACCGCGGGCGATGGCCACTCGGATGCTGGTCATGTGATGGTGCGGGGCGGGCTCCCAACATGAAACCGTTTTCGATCGTTTCTGACGCTACTCTATGCGTCACTGTTCTTCTCGATTTGGAATGAGGGGGCCATTTTGATGCCGTGTTTGGAAAGGACCTTCTCAAATGACACAGTTTGCTTTTGGATTGATTTTCAACTTTGCCCACAAGGCCCTGCTTCCTCCTTTCTGAATTGCCCGGTGCAAAAGGCCGGGTGGCTCTTTGGTGCGACCATGAATGAACCCTTCAACTCGTTGGATGAACGAAGCTCCGCGACTCGTTGGCTCCTTTGACGATGGCGTGCCATCCCGACGCCCGCGGGCCGGGCCCCGCTTGCCTTGAGGGGATGAGGAGTTCCGGCAGCTGCTGCGGGCCCTGCGCCCGCTGATCTCGGTGACCCGGAGCTGCGGCCGGCAGAGCTGGCTGTCCACCCGGGCCATGCTGGAGGCCAAACGAGGGATGGAGGGGGGGGGGAGTTGATGGGAGATGAGTCGGGAGGTCGAAGGGTTCAGCCGGGCGGGAGTTTGCAGGGGGAACGGTGGTTCGGGATGCAAATGTGGGATTGGGAAAGGAAGGGGAATGAGTCTTTGTCATTGGCTTGAAATCTGGATTGAGTCTAAGGCAGACCTTGGCCTCGATGGCGACGGCTTCATTTGCCGCACCCTGCTCACGGCGCGGTGCCCAGGCGGCGTAGTTGCGAAGATGTTGGCTTTGAGCCCAGGTCCGCAAGTGTGAACTCAGGTGACACGGCATTCAAACATAAACAAGTATCATACAATAATATGTATATATATATATATGTATATATATATATATAAACAAGTGAACCAAGAAAGATCGCACCTGCCAGTTCCAAGATAGCAAAACCAGGAAAAATCCAAAAACAAAACAGGAAGAAATCCCAGGAAGAATCCAGACCCTATATATATATATATATATATGGGTCCAGGCCACCAGGAATTTCACAACCTGATCGCCAAGAGCCCATTTTTGCTGGCTGTTTGGCACACTCAAAAGCGCTGTAGCGGTAGCTTCCCTTCAACGGAGTTTTACACCCAACAAATCACACAACATCCCCGCTCTTTCAACACAAGCAGGATGAATAGACATGGCACATATCAATCAGCTCAAAGCCACGGCTATCTTCTGCATTGACAGCATTCCTCTTGGTACAGAATGGTAGGACCCCTGACAGGAGGGCCTGAATGAGCGTTCATGTCGCAGTAGCACCCAATGGCGGTGCTTCTTCAGCAGGCCACCAGGGTTGTCGCTTTGTGGCTAATCTATATAATTACGTGCTTGATGCCAGATAATTGTCAATCCATTGTTGGATCGCTTATTTCAGGTGTCCACGAGCTGGTTTGTTAGACCCATGTTTGAAGGAAGTTGCTCGTAGCTCCAGTGAGCTGCTTCTTATCGAGTCTATTGCTGTCGAGTCTATTGCTGTCGTCACCACAGAGGTTGCTGACCAGACCACGGCCAGTTTCCCAAGACTGCGATGCAATTGCTGGGGAAATCCCTTGTTTCGCTTGTTGCACCCTCTCCCTCCATGCTGCAACTTGGCTCTCCAATCAGAGGGGTCAACACTGGTTGCCTTTATGATCCGTTGACAACTATCGGCGAAAGGTCTTGGAACCCGTGAAAATATCAGCGTTCTACCCTGCAACTTGAGGTCCGGTGCCTGGAGACGCAGCGCATCACCTTGGGCCCAAAGAGACTTGGCTAGGCGAAGAGGCACCAGGTTTTCTTGTTTGGTTTCGTTGCTCATTTGGTGGTGGTGGTGGTGGTGGTGGTGGTGGTGGTGGTGGCGGTGGTGGTGGTGGTGGTGGTGGTGGTGGTGGCGGTGGTGGTGGTGGTGGTGGTGGTGGTGGTGATGGTTGTGGTTGTGGTTGCGGTTGCGGTCGCGGTAGTGGTTTTTGTCGTGGTTGTCGTGGTTGTCGTGGCCGTTGTGGTTGTGGCGGCGGCAGTGGTGGCGGTGGTTGTTCCGTTGGCGGTGGCGGTGGTGGTAATGGTGGTGGTGGTGGTGGTGGTGGTGGTGGTGGTGGTGGTGGTGTGTGTGCGTGTGTGTTTAATGAATATTTGGGACCGCGTCCTTGTAGTCACTCTATCGGGTAGTGAGAAAATGTGACCCTGCATGGGCAAGTGTAGACCAGGTAAATGCACATCTGAAGTGTGGCAGAACCATTACATTTGGACTCCAAGTGCAACAAACGAACAGTTGCTCATCTAACATGTTTCAATCCAACATGTTACACTATGTTACACTCATGTTCCATTTTCTCCAATACAGCTGAACAAATCCTGAGGAACTTCGATGCATTGTACCTCGCTGCCAAGGCCAGGGGTAGAGGTGGCGAGCAGTGGTGCCGGTTCTTTGATCACCTGGAATGCTGATGCTGCATAGGTTTTTGTTTTTGGGGTTTTCCAAATATGAAGGGTTGCCCAATGCGCGTCACTATGCGCTTAAGTCCAGGCCAGGCCGGGCCAGGCAGGGATGGTCTTTTCCAAGAGGCCCTCTTGCGTCCAAGTTGGTTTCGGATGTAGGCACGTGCAATGCTGCAAGGTCTTGTGTCACAAAATATGTTGAAGAATGTGGGTCAATGGAAAGGTCTGACTGGGCACTCATGTTTGGGACACTCACGTCCCGTTAGCTTGGCTTATTTTGGGGTGCGTGAGAAGGTGCGTGAGAAGGACGCGCAATGCCATTCGTCGACAAATCGAAGACGACGGTTAGCACTGTGCAACGGAATGGTTCACTGCTTGGATTTCCGAGTTGTTCCCTTTGGGGAGATGGACCGTGCAGGACGACCGGGCTCATGAGTGGCTGGGGGACAACCTCGAGTTCCGGCTGCTGGGGGATGAGGCTGGCCAAAGCTTAGGGAGCAGAGACCATGCCACCCTTGGGCTGCGGGATGGGTGGCCACATTAGCAGCTTTCGCTTGGTTGGATGCCTTGCGAATGCCAAGGGCACTTAGGTCAAACTCAGGGCCGCCTTCTTCCTTCATATCTTTTGCTCTGGTCAAAATCCCGGAGTGGTTCCATGGCTTGTTCCCCATGGGGACAAGCCGGCATGGGAACACGCTGCTCTCTCTACTTTAGTTCAAGGGGTTCGAACCCCAGTTTGTTCAGGGAAACATGACCTTCAACAGGGACTATAGCATTCTGGCGGATGACACTAGTCCCAAGTTAGTGGATCCATGGCCACCATGGCTGTCGCACAGTATGCAGCGTTGTCATTGTTGCTTGCCTGCTTAACAGGAGCTGCCAATTTGGACACACTCCCGCACCAGATGATTCAGGGCCCCTTCGTTTATGGGTGAGCTGGCTTGCATCTTGCAGTGTACACATACTGCTGGCCAGAAGGCTCCCAATGGAGCTACTGTGGTACACAATTAGCTATTTTCAGCATGCAGCGGATTGTTTGAAGAGTTCCGTTTCAAGGTGACACTTGCAGGAGTCACGAGCATTGGTTTTAGAACTTTGTTTTGGACCTTCCTTTGCTCGTTTGCTCCCTCCCAGCACTCCGACCTCCCCGCTTCCCGCAGATCGATTTCGAAGAGTATGACGAGCAGGGCACAGCCGGGACAAGCTGGATGACCTCTCTGAAGTTTTTTGGGCCACTTGACCCGCACGCTGCCTTGGATTGGTGGGAAGGAGAGGTTAAGTGACAAGGGGTGGTTGGGACGGTTTGCGCTCGAAGCAGAGGTGGCACGTAATTTGTCTAGTGGTTCGATGCATTTCGCGAGGTATGTCAGGATGGTATGCGTCCATTCTTGTGGCTTTAACCAAGAGCACCCACATAACACACCCGGCTTGATTCACCTCAAGGCATCCAAGTTTGGCTGAGGCATGCTGCAAGTAGTGTTCCGACAGAAGAAGGTTCTCGACAATTTGGAATGACCAGCCGTTCTGGGTGGTGTCGCCAGTGCATGAAGTCCAGGACCAGAACTTTCTTGGGCATGCAGGTGTTCTTTCCAGGGGAGGATATTTTAGCATGTAATTTGTCGGTGCTTGTGAGGAGCAGTTGGCCATTGAGATGCCAACTGCAGGTGTTGGCATTGGGGGCGTTGAGCGTCTCCTGCAAAGGATCGACCACGGCGAGCTTGTGCGGATTCTCTGCGGCTCCATTGGCAGCAAGAAGATGCCCTTTGCCCGCTTTGAGCGACATCGGTTACTAAAGAAACATGGCATCCCATATGCATTTGAGATACCTGGCATCCCTTCAAGGCTTCCAAGCTTCCCTTCAAGTGAAACAGAGGCTTGGTGCTGCTGGGCCAACTGCAGTTCGGCGGCGAGCCCTTGCAGTGCCAGCCTCCAGGCCTAGCAAAGGGCTGGCAGGCGAAAAAGCCACTTTGAGCAACATGCTGGGCCCCTTGAAATGGAAACGGAAAGCCTGTGTCAACAGAGGTTTGAACACGTGTGAAACAAGGGGTAGGCCCAACCTTGCAGGCATTTGCCTTTGAGATTCGCAGAGATTCGATCTGGTTTTCCCAGATGCTCGGAAAAGGCCACGAGGAGTGCAGAGGAGTACTGCTAGTTGGGGCCGGCATGAAGATCTCAATTTAAGAGAGGCAGCATAGTTTCCTCGCCGAAGAAAATACATTGGTGGCTGCGGCATGTATCCAGTGTCATTTACGATTCCAAGAGGGTGGCCGCTTTTTGAAGATTGCCAGAGTGGGTTCCAACTCATCCTTGAGTTCAGATGGTTGGCAGGCGCAGATAAGGACTCGAACAGGTCCGATGGATGTCAAGGGTCTCCGCAGCTCCAAAGCGCTTGCCAGGCGCCCTGGATGCTGTGGCCAACGCTTTGGGCGTGGGTGCGGGCAAGCTGCTGGCCGCCCTGCTAGGTGCCTTCGTGGAAATCTCTGAGAGCACGGGTCCATTGGGTTAGCGCTTTGGTTAGGGTTGGTTCATGGTTGGAGAGTGAATGGTTGGGTTGGTTGGGTTACTCTGGGTTTTGCCATGGCTTATGGTCGCCAGTTGGTTGGAGGACTCTTGAACTCGTAAAGAGACTCAAGTGATGTTCAAAAAATAGTTGCTGGGGCCTGCTGGAGGAGGTTCGACACGTTGAGAAAAAAAACCATACCTGGACCCTCAGAATATGAAGCATCACCCCTTGATTTCTCAGAAAGACGCTATATAGGCCCCTATTACTTGCGGCAATATCCAAGTTATTAAACTTGGTTTCAGAATCCAGGCATGTCTCTGTATCATGAACCTTCTGGATTTGCCCAGGCGGCACAGCAGAAGAGGCCTCCCAGCGCAGAGATGCAGCCGCTGCGTGAAAGTTTAGAATCCACGATGGCCGCCATATGCATGTGGGCGTCGTGCTAAATCCCGTGTATTTGGTGTAATATTCCGAATTTCCAGGCTTACATGGCATGAGCTTCCCGCTCTGTGCGCGGAAGAGACGCGGAAGGGCGGCGGAAGAGACGGAAGGGCCAGTAACCGAAAACGTTGATCGAACATGAGTGATAACTTGTGTGTAGATTTACAAGGGGCACGGAAGTGCGAGGAAGGTTGGCGCAAGAATGGCGGCGGAAGGGCAGTTTTCAGGAGAAGTAATTTTGCACAACCCCAATGTATGTTTACATTTAGCCGTCAGGAATCCCTGAAATCAAAACAGAGCCGATGGCTGGAGGCTAAAACTGGGGCAGAAGCGTATCATTAAAGCTTGCAAGCATCCACCAAACTACCCTCTGATTCTGCCCCTCAAAGCAATCTAGCTTGCGCAAGCCTCTGTTGCAGCCAGAAAATGGGGTAGGCAATGCCAGTGCCACTGACAAACCACAAGCCCTCAAACTCTGTACTATGGGTTTGTGATCAACAATGCACATGAAGGGTGGCTGCTCTGGTGCAAAACATGCATGCGCGTTCAAGGTTCCTCTAGATTTGCTTGCCAAGGGTTGCTCGTATGGCAGCTTTCATTGTTTCCATGTTCCACAGTCTTCTGGAAGATTGCACACATTTGGTCACTGCAAGGACAGGCATTTCATATCTTGGAATGGGACAGTATTCTGATACTTGCCTCCACTCGTTCGTCCTTCATTTGCCTTCTCACCTTGCCTTCTCACCATGGACCAGCCAAGCGAGTGGAGTGAAGAAATGAACTTGATTCCCATCTCTCCCTCTCTCTTTCTCACCCACCCTCACCTGTTTGGGTCTGTAGGTGGGTGGATGAGAAAAAGAGATGCAGAAAAGCACGGACCCACCTTCAAGCTTGCTAGTCCAAAACAGAACAGAAGGGTTGAAACCGCCCCCCTGGCAACTTGACATCTTCTCACCTCCTTCCCCCCCAAAAGGACTGGGTTCGTGTTTTTTTTTGGATACCACCGGTTGCAGCTGGTGACCGGATCGGTTGCGCTGAGGCCTTGCAGGAGCTCTACCACCGCCTGGTGCACCTGGTGCTGAGGCAGCTGAATGCCAAGGTGGCCGGGGAGGCCCAGGCGAGGAGGGCACCGTTGGGTTGAACTCCAGACATAGATCAAACCCGTGGGCGTGAACAAAAAAGTCGGCGTGACAGTCAGATCTAGGACCAATGTTTTGGTTTGGTTGGGATTTCTACTTTGCCGATCGGATCTTTGGAGCAATCCTGGGTACTGTTGGACTCAAGTGGGTGTGTATTTTGTTTGGTTGAAGCCTTTTGTGGACGTCACTTAGGAATGTATGCCCACCATCCATGTTGGGATTGCAAATCACGCTGCTGGCAGGGGACCCTTTTGGACCTGGGAATTCCCCAATTCTTCTCACAGGGGGCCCACAACTGTCCGACCCAAGATACAGAGGAGCTGGAGTCTGTGTGCGATTTCCTTCACACCAAGTAGGGGGGGTCTTATCAAGATGTTGCTTCTCCCGGTGTGAAGGTGGGTTTGCGGGTCAGCAGAACCCAGATTGTGTATGGAAAGTACCTGAAAGCCCGTTCTATCAACAGGTGATGACGTTTTGGTATAGACTTTACCAGTGAGTAAAACCCAGCAAGCGATGCTTCTCGCTGATACCCTTTTCCAGACAACAGGGACATTTGCTGCAGAGTCCATTTCGCACCGATGTTCCCAGTTGGGTTTCATCCATCCCAACTGGTGCAGGATTTCGTCCATCCACAGCAGGTGTCCTTGTGTCCTGAGGTTACTTCAATATAATTAGAGGGCACTGGTTTCAGTTTGGTTCTAAACATGTGCTGCAATATTTATCCAAAAGAACACTTAGGATAGGGACCCTTCATAACTATTCTCATGCAGATGAACGTGAAATCCACCCAACCATCATTTTGGGATAAATGTTACTTTTGGGGAATCTCTGTTTGGATTCGATGTTGATTTGCCCCTGTGAGAGAAGTGCAAATGCAATTTTAAAGTCAGCACGAACGCATGTATGCATCCAAGCGGGGCGGCTGTGAGCGCTCGCGTCGAATTCGCACGGACCAGCAGCCCGGCCCGGGCAGGCCACGCCGCAGAGCATGAAGATCCTGGAGGTGGGATGTCAAATTGCGCGTTGGATGTTCCTGGTGCGGTTTGAACATCGTCAGGGTACATTTGATGTATGCTTCCCTTTGCTGGTGATGTTTGGAGGATTGATGCTTAAGGGGGAAAATGAGGTGAACTCCATGTGGATGGAAGCGTTGAGTCTAAGCGAAGTGAACGGGTCGGTGCTGCATAGGCGAATACCTCCACGTTTAGAAGCAGGCATGTTGACCAATACTCGACCAATGTTACCACATTGGGAAGATATCCAGGTTACCAATGGCCCACTCACCCGGGGGCAGACTGAGTTCACTCATCAAGGTTCGCCAGAGAGTTTTTGATCGAGGTTGGTAATTTGCTTTTTTTTTTTTTTTCTTTTCTTTTTTTCTTTTTTTTAAAGCTGTGCAGATCTATGAATGGTATCCAATTTGTGCGTGCCAGGATACAACAGCTTCCCTATTTCCCTGGTCATGCGTAATGGGACGGATACATGGCAATGGCTATGAGTTCCAACAAGGAACCACCTCAAAAGTGGTGAGCGTGAATCCCCCGCCGAATTCTGATGTCCGCCAAAGGGCCTCCAATTCAAGTTCACGTTCCCATACGGTTCCCTGAAAAAGCCAACCCGAAAAGGGTTCTATCAAAAAGTACATGGCAACAAATTGGTTTGTCTTGTTTGGAATCCCCTTTTGGTTGGCTTGAACGGAACGGTCAAAGGAAACCCACCCATCTCGGGTTCCTACACGTGGTTGGGGGTCTCTTTTCTTGAGGCTGCCCCTTTTTGGGTGTTTGTCCTGTTCTTTTTTCAGGTAAGCCAAAAACAAGGACACCCCTCCCAAAAAAAGACCAGCGAGCGCGCCCCGCGGCGGCGCCTTTGGGAGGTGCCCAGCGCGCTGGACGCTAAAGGCTTCCACGGCATGGCGCTGCAGCGCCTCACGGAGGCGCCGCTGGACGGTGAGGGGTTGCCCCCCCCCCCCCCCGGTTGCACCCCTCGGTTTCCCCATGAGGCAACTTTGGATCAGGAACTAGACCACGGTTGGCCCGAAAGCATCACAGCCCCGTGACCATTCTGCGCAAGTTGCTCTGGGCAAGGTGCTTTGCGCAAACTGGTCTGTGCAAGTTGCTCTGCGCAAGTTGCTCTGCGCAAGTTGCTCTGTGCAAGTTGCTCTGTGCAAGTTGCTCCGTGCAAGTTGCTCCGTGCAAGTTGCTCTCTGCAAGTTGCTCTGTCCACGCTGCTCTGTGCAAGTTGCTCTGTGCAAGTTGCTCTGCGAAAGTTGCTCTGCGCAAGTTGCTTTGTGCAAGCTGCTCTGTGCAAGAAGCTCTGTGCAACTGACTCTGTGCAAGCTGCTCTGTACAAGTTGCTCTGCGCAAGTTGTTCAGTCTGTGCAAGTTGCTCTGCGCAAGTTGCTCTGTCAAAATTGCTCTGCGCAAGCTCTGTGCAAGTTGCTCTGTGCAAGTTGCTCCGTGCAAGTTGCTCCGTGCAAGTTGCTCCCTGCAAGTTGCTCTGTCCACGCTGCTCTGTGCAAGTTGCTCTGCGAAAGTTGCTCTGTGCAAGTTGCTTTGTGCAAGCTGCTCTGTGCAAGAAGCTCTATGCAACTGACTCTGTGCAAATGTCTCTGTACAAGTTGCTCTGTGCAAGTTGTTCAGTCTGTGCAAGTTGCTCTGCGGAAGCTGCTCTGCGCAAGTTGCTCTGTCAAAGTTGCTCTGCGTAAATTGCTCTGTGAAAGCTGCTCTGTGCAAGTTGCTCTGTGCAAGTTGCACTGCGCAAGTTGCTTTGTGCAAGTTGCTCTGTGCAAGAAGCTCTGTGCAGCTGACTCTGTGCAAATGTCTCTGTACAAGTTGCTCTGTGCAAGTTGTTCAGTCTGTGCAAGTTGCTCTGCGCAAGTTGCTCTGTGCAAGCTGCTCTGTGCAAGTTGCTCTGCGTAAGTTGCTCTGCGCAAGTTGCTCTCGGCAAGGTGCTCTGCGCAAGTTGCTCTGTGCAAGTTGCTCTGCGCAAGTTGCTCTGCGCAAAATGGTCTGTGCAACTTGCTCTGCAAGTTGCTCTATGCAAGTTGCTCCGTGCAGCTTGCGAAGCCCGCCCGCGGACCAGGGGGGAATCGAACCCGCGACCCGCCGGTCCCGGGAGCAGGCGCGCGAACCACGAGACAACTCCGAGGACCAGTTCGAACAACAAAAGTCACAAAAAATCACGAGTTTTTGCACCTCGACCACGCCGATCCCCACACAGGGTCGCGCGATCCAAAACAAAATCGGGAAAATATAAATACGAGTTGATCACGCCGATCCCTGCAGGGTCGCGCGAGCCAAAACAAAATCGCAAAACCACCACGAGTTTTTGCACCTCGACCACGCCGATCTCCGCAGAGGGTCGCGCGGGCCAAAACAAAATCACTTGCACTTGGCTCCATGCACTTGCAACTTGCACTTGACTCCATGCACTTGCAACTTGCACTTGACTCCTTGCACTTGCAGCTTGCACTTGACTCCTTGCACTTGCAACTTGCACTTGACTCCATGCACTTGGCTCCTTGCAACTTGCAATGACTCTCATGAGTCCTTGCAATGACTCCTTGCAATGACTCCTTGCATCTCCTTGCAATGACTCCTTGCAATGACTTTCATGATGATGATTCCTTGCAATGACCCCTTGCAATGACTCTCATGAGAACAACTCAAGTGAACCCAGCAGAAGAACCCTTCGCCATGCTTTCGGGGAAAAAACATCTCCACTTTGGATGGGTTTCCTTATAAACCTTCTAAACACCACAAAAATGGCGGCAACAATGGATCAGTTAGATGGACTTCCAATTGTGGCCCACCCATTTCTTCGCTAATTTCCACCCATTGGCTCGGCAGGCTACATAGCTGATTGTTGCTCATTGTATACCTTCTTTCCAAAACTGGAAGTAGACACAGAGGTTTCGCGAAAGTCTTTCCACACGTTCCTGTCAGCTTCCAACGAGACATATCTCTAAACTTGACAATATCATCCTGGAAACGATGTTTGTCTTTGGCAAACTTGCAGATCACCTACTTGGCACTGTCTCAAAACGGCATAAGCATGGAAGGTTTCCGTTTGGCCTCCTTTCAAACCCGGGCAGGGTATTCTCGAAGCAGAAGCTTGAGTTTTTGGTACTGCTCGTTCCTTGTGAAAGATGCTCTGAGGCGATGAATAATACAACGCTCAGAGGGTGTCACGTGTCTTGCAGCCTGAGTCGAAATTCAATAAGTGTCTGTGGATTCCTGCACCCTTGAGCCGACTATGCTTAAGTGGCGATTGGCTCTGCATGATTCATAGTATGAGCGTGTGCTGGAACCAAAGCAGGATGGATCCAACGGAAATCGTACGCGAAGACAGATCAAACCATCGAAACATGAAATTACACCTCCAGAAAGCGACGATCTCTCAAGCCTCAGGCGCTGCTGTAGCAATATTGCGCCAAACACTTTGCTGGTTGCTCTCACATGAACAGGAAAGTCAGAGTCAAACGCATCCCTGTTGCGCTTGTGCGGACGCGCCCCAAATGTTCAACGCTTTTGGCGTGAATCCACAAGCGGGGGTCCAATACATTTGCAAGTAGGCTGTAACAAGGCCACACACGTGGGCACTCAGGCCAACTTTGGTTCCCTGCTTGTCCAAAAGCAATCGTCGTAGGTCACATTCTGCTGACAAAACAACCTTTGGGCGGCTCGTCCGTGGGAGCGACGGGCGGTGTGAGGCGCGCTTCGCGCACATGCTGGCCATTTGCCGGCCTGAGGACAGCCGCGCGCTCAGAAGCTATGGCTTTGGAGGGTTGTTGATCGCAGCGACGGCGCGGGGTAGCCAAAGCTGCTGCACAGCTCACCTTGCCGGACATACAATAATTGGATAAGAGGGGATCTCTTTTTCACCCGATTCTACTCGCCAAACTGTTGTTTACTCCAGCCACAGGAAAATGCGTCAAGCAAATAAAATAAGACCACTAGTCCAGAGAGAAAACAGAGTGATTGAAAAGGCAAAACTACGGTCACCTACATACCTGCAAAGCCAGCCGAGCAAACCGATGGAAATTGACCATTCAACAAGTCGAAATAATACGAGAAAACCAAGAAACACAAACATTTGCCAGGGGAAATATGTTTTTAAGCAGGGTCTGATGCCTCAGGTCGTGTTTAATGAACATGCGAAAGGACTTGAAACCATTTACAATTTGCATTTGGTTGCATTTTGAATTGGCTATTTCAATAGGAGTGTTCTTTGTAACTTGAGTTGAAACAGGTAAGCAACACAGCATTGGGATATGAAATGCTGTGCTGCCTTTTTAATTCATAATATATATATATATAATATGTTGTTTAGAATCAAAGTTGCACTATAAAGGAACGAACTGCAGTCTATGATTCAATTGGACTGAACTTGAATGTCAAATAGTTTTTAGTAGGCACAAATTCCTTTCCAAATTTCGTGCGAGTTGGACTTTTATTCGAAGTTTAAAGAAATTATAAGAGGCACGGGAAAGGCTTTTAAGTTGCGCTGGAAACCAATGTCAACCATCCAAGCAATGAGATTAATTTAGCAATTAAATCCAACCATATAAGGAAATCCAATCGAGTTAGGTTTGAATTTGAAACTGCAGTTGAAGTCGGAATTTCTTCCCTCATGTGATTCCACACACACTTTAGTGAGCAGCCAAACCAAATCAGGTATGCAACACATGATTTGGACAGGAATTGTTTTCCCAGTTGAAAACCGGAAATAATGTGTTTGTAGTAAACACAACCGCAGTGTACTCGTACAAGGAATGGACCGCTTTGTGATTGAATTGGCTTTCAATGTCGTTTGGACATTCAGTGTTTTATATACACAACTCATCAAGCAGGACATGGGCGGGTTAAACAACAAGGGTGAAGGGTTGAACAAAGGGACAGGGGTTAACATGTTTGCAGGGTTAAAGAAACAGGTTCCCAGATGAGTAGAGCTTGTTCCTGAATTTGGAGACCTTCGTGCCCCCTCGTGGACTTTTCCTCTTGGAAGGTTAGTTTGATCGATTTTTCGCGCGCATCCCAAAGCTTCAAGGCGATGGCCTGCAAGATGAGTCGGAGCAGCAGGCGGGGTGCGAGCCGAGTCCTTGGAATTGCCACAGGGAAAACCGGCCAGCAAAAGGAGGTGCCCAAGCTCAGGGGAAGAAAGCTCTTCATGTGGCAGGGAGAAAAACGAAAAAGGACAAGCAGGCGATACGTCAAGAGCCAGTTCGATTGGGTTTGGGAGAACTGGCCCATTTTCTGGAGGTGTGCTTCGTTTTCCCGCTGTGTACAACCCAGAAAGCGTGGTACGGCTGAGGATACGGCAGTTGCGGAATTCAGATTTCTTGTCCAGTGTGTGCATTGGTTTGCTCTCCTGAGATGAGCATCGTGAACTGGGGGTCCATTGCTGAAGCGTCCCCTTCACATTGACCTTACAGGGATTTGCGACCATGCCCTTTGGTTTCTCAAAATGGCGCACCCCCTTTTTGTTTTAAAAGGTATTCCAAGCATGCAATGAGCCACCTTTGTCGGACCGTTTAATGGACCAGCAGTCATTTAGATGGTTTGGCAAGTTTTTCATGGACCATTTTTGAGAGGTCTTCACTAAGCTTTCCCAAAGGGGGGGAACGTGCGAGACGGCCTCGATAGGCCGCTGCCCAGGGCGCGGCTTTGCAGGCCTGGCGGCTGCTGCGCCAGCCCAAAGAGTCACAGGTGCGGTTGGGGTGGGTGGGTTGGGGCAGGAGGGAAAGAGGGTGGATAGAATTCGGTTCAGAAGCCAAGTATCATATTTTTGTTGCACCGGTCCAGGAATGCGCAAGGGCGTTTTTTCGCCAAACTTGGTTGCCATTGGTTTCGCACATCCGGAGGTGTTGCAGGTGATTGACCGCTGCTCCCAATGCACATATTCGAGGGCAAAGGCTTGCGGGCAGCAATGACAGGGATCAAACGTCTTGGCAAAAATGATTCTTTTTTTTGTGTGTGAGTGTGTGCGCGCATGAGCCCCTGATCCTCACTAGACGGACATAGCAATTCCTGACACTGTGTCTGACAGCTGAGTTCATGAGTCTGCATGATGGATGTCAATGCCCTTCGCTTGGCCTCGAGTGCACAGAGGCACGTAGCAGATTGGTGTTTTGCCACATGTGCTGCTTGGGGGCAGCCACTTGCGACATGGCCATATGTATTGTTCCGGAAAGGAGATGCGATTAAATCTTGAATAGTGGCATCCTTCTGCTGTTTGATTTCACATGCTCGGACCTGTGCACCCGAGCATTGTAACCCAAAACTTGCCCAGAGCAATGCAGCAACATTTGCGGCATGCGTTTTCGGGAAAAAATCAGTGTGCCAGGAGCCAGTCACCATCCGCAGCTTGGCATGGGGCGCAACTTGCAACCCATTTGCAGGGTGAGATCTATCTCAGGATTTCGCGGGGTTTTGCTTTGCAGTTTTTTGAGTGATGCATTCGATCGATTGACGTTCTGCTGCTGGGCTCAGTCTATGGATGTGTAATTCTTCGGGTCAATGCCAAAACGAGGAAGCGGGCCTAAGGTGACCTCGGCATGCCAGGGTTTCTGAATGCGTACAAGCTGACGATCACAACAGTAAAGATAGGGCATCCAGGTATTGAAGCAGTTGCCGACACAGCTATTTGAGCGCGCGCCGTCTCACAAGCGGGTGAACACACTGCAAATGCCTCCTGGCTTGATTCCACGGGCTTCCTCTGGCTTGGAGACTGGGAACTTTGCAAACTTAAAACCTCCATCCCTCAGTCGACAAACTCCTTACCTATGTCGCAAGCCCCTTCTTCCAGTGCTAAAAGCTCAGGAGAACACACGGGGCGCGGGGGCATGGCCCGACCCAGGCGGTGCTTGCGGAGAAGCGCAGTACGTGGTTGATAAGAGCTGCTCGGCGTGAGCTTGCGGTTGCAAGCTGAAGCTTCGGTGGTTGGAGATACAGTTTTACTCGTTCAATGACTTGCTCAGGTTTAGTGCGTAAAGATAGAATGTGTATTGCACACTCATCCAAGCAAACAAGGCTTGTCAATTGACTCTACAGCATAGCACTGCAAGGGCTCTTCTAGTAGTTTTTTTTCTAAGCGGGCACATCAGAACAGGGATTTGATTCATGCCTTGTTCACTGCCCTTGGGCATCAAGCTTGCAGGGTGCCGTTAGAACGCAGCCATTCCCGCAGCATGGCACTTGATGAGACCACGGTCTGGGGGTGTGCGTGTGTGTGAGGCAAAGGTCTGCCGCTGATGTGGGCACTTGCCTATGGATTCTATCAAAAGCCTCGGCTTAAGCGGGAGCCATGATCTACCCACCTATTGAAACACGATGTAACTTATGTTCTGGGCAACTGATAGCGGTGTGACCAGGGTGGTTTGTGACGCCTCCCACGAAGGCTCCTTCCACAAGTTTCCTTTTGCGCTTTGTGTTTGAATTTGCGCCCATAGTGACGGTACCATCAAGGCAACAGTTCAGTTTGTTGGCGGATTGTTGATGCCGCAAAGGAGTGCTTCCCGTCGCTTTGGTTAAAGATGCCCAAAACATGAGCTTGCTTTGCGGCACCAATAGGAGCCATTTCAATGGGTCACTCACCTTGACGCCCCATCTCCAACAACGTGGCTTTGGGCCGAGTGCTTCCAGATGGGTTTGTTCTTGTTGCCGGGTTTGACTTTGGGGTCGACCTATGGCCAAAGCGGTCTGGCAGCACGTCGAGCCTCGGCCCGAGGCTTTGTCACCGCTGCGGAGGGCGGAGGGAACGGTGCAGGTCCGATGCTGGAGGCCTTGTCCGAATCCAGCTGCCGCTAGGCGAGAGTTGTGGGCTGGGCTCGTCCTTTAGTTTGCAGTGGAGATCAAAGGCCGCGTGAACATCTCTGGTAACAGCCAGCGGATCATCGAAATTGAGGTGTTGCTTCATCCGCTTCATGCTGATCAGGATTTGGCTCTTGCTTGAAGTGAAGGGCCCTCCAAAGGGCCCTTGTAGTTCACCACAAGAGGATGGGAAAGTTGCACCTGGTCATGGCTTCGCCTTGGGGGTGGAGCACATGGTGGCGGGTGGATGATTTTGAAAGAGGAGCCAACCACTCAAAAAGGGGGGGCCTAAGGCCTGAGATGCCGGAAAAAAAACGGGGGTCTTCCAGATGCCCCGCAGTAAATTCGAACGGGCTTATCCCCCAAACCTTCAGGTATGACAAACTGTTCATTTCATGTTGTGAAGAACACATATTTGTTTGCTTCGTCGCACAGTCTAGCATGCCGCAATCGACTTGCCGGATATGCATGGATCAATTGAGGACTTGCTTCTGCTCTCACATCGTTTGGGGCGAGGCACATCCTGTCGCCTGTCATTCATGGGCCGGTTGCCGTCTCGTTCGGTGGCATGAGGAAGTGCGCTGCCCTGCATAAAAAGACCAATCTTCGGTGTGCTGGGGCCTGGCACCCACCCGCAATCTTATTCAACAGACCAGGAAGCAATGCAGGCAGAGCCCCTGTGTTTGGCACACCCAAGGCAAGTACCTCCGCGAGATCACCAACTCCTTGGCGGTGAAGCCGGCGTCGGGCACGGATGCTGCGGAGGAGGAGCGGAGTGGGGGTGGGGTGGGCTTCCTGAAGGGCGATGGCAAGGGAACCAAAGTCAACTCCAAAAGGATTAGTCAGGGAGCAGGCCGAACCACATGAAGGCGGAAGCCCTTTTTGATGTTGGTACACATCTCATTACCTCATACGGAGTTTGGCTATGGCCCTGAGGGATGTTTGGGCAGCGTACACGGATTTAAAATTGGGAACGGGTGGCCCCACATATCTCCACTCTTCTGTCTGCGGCCTGTGTTGTCCGCAGATCTACAAAAATGACAATGTGCCAGCCTGAAACAACCCGGTCAATGCGTGCCGGACAAGTGGCTAAGACTCCGTGCATGTTTGTGACGAGAGCCGGAACAGGATACGTGCGGCAAGGCGAAGGGTTGTGGCGTGAACCCTCGGTCCGCTTTTGAGTCCGTTCCATCGCTGTCTCAAGTCTAAAATATGTTGAACAATGACCAAGGATTGTGGCATGCCCTTTTGTGGGCGGTCCAACCCTTTTTGCAGTTCTAGTCTAGCGGCATCTCCCCCACATGAGACGTGTCTTTTGCAAAGGATGTTTAAAGTGAAATTGGGAAGACACCCTCCATTGCGGCAGCCCGACATGTCAGCTCCGTATGCAGAATAACTGAACTAAACACCAAGCCTTGTGGCTTGGTGGTTTGGATTTTGTCCGCCACCAGCCAACAAACTTTGGCCAAAGGTCCTCCCACCAGTTGGAAGTGCGCAGACCCGTTTGGACAGCGCGTCCCTTCGCTTCTGCCATTTCAGGCCCTGAAGGCGTTGTCCAGCTGCCTGGAGCCGAAGGCGAAGGCGGAGGGTGGGCTGGCAAAAGGGGGAGGGGTCCTTTTGCGTGTTTGTTTCTGCTGTTTATGATGTTCATGATGTTCACGGCGTTTGAGTGTTTTCCCTTTCATTCCCCTTTGGTTTGTTGTGCTTAGCTGCTTAGTTTTAGTTCCTTTTTTCATCCAAAGGGAATTGGGTGCCACCTTCGACTGGTTTGGCTTCGCCTTGCTTCTCGCGAGGGAAGGCCACAAGCCAACCGCTTTTGGGGGCCCGGTTTTCAGCTGATGCCAAACTTGATGCTCGGGGCTCCCTCATGTTCTGCGGGCTGTTGAAGCCAGCCAACCAAATTTTGGGGCTGGACGCATTCCCAGACGAATCCCCCAGCCAGAGTGTTTGCGGCTTCATGGATTCCCTGGTTCAATTCTTGGATTGAATGAATCATTACTGGGCTGATTTCTTCAACGATGCAAAATGGACAAACAGAGCTTGGGTTCAATGGTTTACCCTCGGCCTAACGAACGACGGCTACACAACTAGTTTCAGTTTACATTGGAAGCATTCAGGTTTTCCAGGTCTCCTGACTGCTTTGCTCTTTGGATTGTATCCACACTAGTCGTGTTCCTTGGCCTAAGCCCGTTTCTGCTCTTACCCGCCGAAAGCCGATCTCTCGATAGGTTTTCCAGATTTGGTCTACCTTTCGATATGTGAGAAACCCTTTTGCCAGGCGCTCAGGTTCCTTTGTGCACCAGATGCAACCGGGCAAACGGGCCAGGCCAAGACTTGGCCGGTGTGCTGCCTGCGGCCCAACGACCTTGGCGCCGCTGACAGGGTGTGCCCTGGCCGTTGGGGCAAAGCATAGGGAGGGAAAAGCAAAAAGGGGAAGGACTCGGACTGTCTGTTTTCGTCAGGGGGCGTCTGTTTGCGTTTCCCCAAAAAAGCCAGGGGCGGTGACAACATACTCATTTTCCCATGTCCCTTGCGGTGACAACATGCTCTGACCATGGCTCATGTGGCTCCTTCACTTCTTCCGCATGGCGAGCCCAGGAGAGAAAACGGTCGGCCTCGGGATACCACTCTAAATGTGCGGGAAAGAGCTCCGTTTTAAATAGTATTGGGGTGTCCCATCTCTTTGCTGGGTTTGGCAGGCAACGGACGTTTGCATTTCAGAGCATATTAGGAAAGGCCCGACAAAACCCATCATCAAGCCACCCTTCGTAAAACTTTCTTAGTTGACAAACCTGTTGATGGCAAAAGCAACCGTGCACCATCCCATCCTAAGGTGGGGCAAATACCTTCAAAGAGCGAGCTTTCGAAGTTTCATAGGCGGTTCAAGCAAGCTGACATCAAAGCGCATCCCCTCGGACCCTTCCATAATCTGCCCCAGGGCAACCCTCAACCACCACCCCCCCCTCCCCAAACCTTCAGGCCTTTGCCCAGGTGCAGCTGCCCCCGGCCTTGTGATTCTTTACATTTTGGGTAGCCCCCAATGCCCAAACGAGGTCACTTACGGAAAAACAGCAATAAAAAAGAGCATGTGACGGGCTTTCGCTGGCTGTCAAACAGCTCCCACAGGTCACTTGGGAGCAAACGCATGTGGACACGGGGCATAATCATGCCTCCATTTGTGGGGTGGATGAACATCCATTTGCCATCTATTTTGATGTTCACCAGGGGTACAGGATTTTGACCCATGGCCATTTGATGCTTTGATAGCGTTTGCGGGGTCTTGCTGGGTTTGGGCTGGGCCCAGGAGCCGGCCAGTGCTGCTGCAGCAGGTGAGGCACCTACGCCTGGCGGAGGCGGCCCAGCTGGCGGAGAAGGGCGTGAACGAGATCTGGTCTCTGCACCTGGGCCAATGTGGCTGTGGTTGTCAACACCGTTTTGGGATACCATTTTGGTCGATAGGTGAATTCACCACCCATTTTAGAACCTATGTTAGTGGTTGGATTGAATCGGATGTTCACTGGGGGTACGATTTGGATTTTGACCCGCGTGAAAGATCTGAAAGGGAGCAGTCCGAGCCTCAAAAGAAGCGCAAGGGCGACGATTTGTGCTGGGCCCTTGTGGTTTCCTTTTCCAGGCACCAACTTTCGAACTTTTTGCCCTTGTTGTAGATCCCCCTTAAAGCAACCATCGCAAGGGTATCCTCATCAACAAGAGACGGGCAAATTGGGATACCAAACGTAAGAGATCAATGAAAGAGATTGGTGTCCCGCTTCGCAAAAACCCATGCAAAGGGTCAATTTCCAATTTCAAAATATACCCTGAAAGAGGCAGCCCCAGAAATGGCTGGGGTGGATCATTGTGGCCCGTGTCAATTGAAAGGCCGTCTCCAAACGTGTGTCATCACCAGCCCTTCCAGAGCCACTCAAATGTGGTGCAACCAAAGGGGGTCCCTTTTAAAATCGACTGCCAAGCAAGAATTGGGTGTGCGTCTGGACTTGTAATTGGACCCCCAAAATCGTATATCCTTTGGGTTTCCATTCAAAAGCTTTAAAAGGGCCTGATGAAGAAGGTACCCTCCAAAAAACACGGACCCCAATTCACTTAGTGCCCCCTTTTCCCCTCGCAACCGGAGGTCCCAAGTCTCGCAGGCAGAGCTTCCGGGCGCGCTACGCGAAGCTGGCGCCCACCTTGGAGGAGTCCGTGGAGGACGAGGCAGCGTGCCGGCTCTTGGTGAAGGCGGCGGGCGGGGACAAGGGCCACGTGGCGGAGAGCGTCTTCGGAGGCAAGCGCCCCGGCGGGAAAGCGGGAAAGAAGCGCGGAGATCCGCGGTTGGGGGTTTCCCCTGATTCTGGCGGATTTCGTCCCCTGGACTTTTGTGCTGTTTCCTGAGTTTCTTTTACGTTGGGTTCGACCGAACTCATCTTTCAGCTCGTTGAAGGGGTCAACGCTCCACCCAGTGGAGGCGACGTGGCCCAGGGGGTCCACGCATTTTGTCCTGGTTTGTTTCTTTTGGTGGGAATTCCCTGAAAGTTGGGCTGAGATTGGCCATTTGGGAATTCCCAAAGAGTGGGATTGTGGGCGGACACTCCACCGCCAAACGGGTCCTACTGCATCGGGAGCTCCCACAGGTGAGGGGCAATGAGACAGGTCAAACAAACACAACAAGCGATGACCCTTTCGTCTCTTACACGTGTACCATGAAGTGTTGGGGCCCAAGCGTTGAACTGTTTCTCGGCCCTTTGCACTAGCAAATCGTGTCTCATTGCTGCATACATTCGACTTGAGCAAGTTGTTACCATTATTGGTCCCGACTAGGGTTGTTTTAAAAATTGGTTTGAACAAGCTCATTTCACGGAACACCTAAAGGAGGATGTTTTCCAGTACTGGTTTTGATAGCGATTTGCTGCTTGACGGTCGAGGCGATTCAGTCTCAATTTCAACTCTGACCAGCCCCATGCAGTTTGCTGGATTTTGTCCCTGATCGCACGGTCTTTTGCAGATGACACCTCAGCAGTTTGTGAGACATGCCGCCTCAGCAGGTTCCTGGCATTGGCACTTGTTTGTGAACCTCAATATGGGACCCTTTGGTGGACCTTCACCAACCACTTGCAAGGTTCCCTATCAGTTGAAATTCATAGAACCTGTTCTAAGAGGTCTCCCAGGTCTCCCCAAAAACCGCCGAGCTCGGGGCCCTCCCCCATTTGCCCGCGACGGAAGCGGTATCTGAGGATTCTGCAGCAGCTCATGGAGCACAAGCGCCCTGGTTTTTCAAATGGCTGTGGGTCAAAACCAATGGGGTCCCATTTTGGGTAGGTGCACCACCTATTTTAGAACCTATTTTAGTGGGGATTGGGATGTTCACTGGGGGTACAGGATTCTGACCCATGGCCAAATGGGCTGAAATGAGAGGCTCCCACCGGTGGTTGGCTGTTCAAAGGTCCTATCCTTGGGTTACGCAAGGATTTGGTCCCCTTTGTAGTGGCTTCCCTATATCCCGGTGTTATGGATTAGGATTGCCGACCCTCCATTTTGAACAGCCCGGCCGTTGGTTTCCCTTTGGTTGCTCTTGAAACGCCACTCAGCCATTCAAAGAGTCTTCCAATTTTGGGCCCACCAATTGTTTGTCCACGTTATGGCGAACATTCCATCTAGAGGAGGGATAGTCTATGCCCTCAGATTTCACGTGGGCCATTGTCCAAAGTTCAAATAGGATCCTGCACATGACACGCGGTCCCCTCAAAACCAAGATTCATGCCCAAGCTTCTTATTGTCGCTGTATTTGAAGTTGTGTGTTTGCTATGGCAGTAAGCACGCATCACAAATTATCCACCACGAGCGACAGTGGAATTCATGCTGACTGCCGGGCGGCGCGCGAGATCAATTCACGCATGCTCCTTGTTTTTCTTGATCACAATGTCGCAAAATGCGGGATCAAAAGCGAGTGCTTCCCCGCACGTAGTGCCCCAAGCACATTGGCCAGCATTTCGCTTTACAAAGCACCAGGCATTTGTTCGGGCTTTTCAACCACAACAACAGAAACAACATCAATGCGACCCACACGATGTGTTTTATTAATCGAGATGGGGGGCAGCTGAGCCTTGTTCAGTTCCCCGCTAGTTCGCCCGGCTTTGGAAATACCCAGGCTGCAGGAGAGCGAAGCTGGGCATCAGCACCTCGAGGGCACCAAGTCGGCTTCTTGGCAAGAGGCACCCGAGGTCTGGTGGGGATTTTCTTGCCAAAGGGGGGGGGTTGGAACCATAGAGGTGTTTTTTTGGTTGTTTTCGATTCCTGGTTGACTTGGTTCTTTCATGCGCCAAGGAAAGTCCCAACCTGCCCGAGTTGGCAACCACTACCAAATCAGCACATCCTACACATGTAAATAAACCTTCAACCAGCCTCAGTGTCACTGCAGCAACCACCGTTGGAAATCATTTAACATCATAGTCATTTCATGTATTTTGCTTAGACATTCCTCGCGTTGGTTCTTGGGACAGCAACTATTGCTAGGTGGTCTTATCCCGTATCAGCATTTGGCTAGCCAGGCTCGGACACATTGAACGCACAATCTTCTACATGAACCATAGAGAGACCAGTTTGCCAACTTCGAAGCCCAATTCATACTTGTCAGAGAGCTTGCCCGTTTGCAATGGCAAGTCCGACGCCTGTTTGGGGCATCCGTGGCAATGTGAGTGTGTATGCGTTCGGGAGCTTTGCTCCATCTGATCTCCGATAGATTGCCGGAAGCTAACACTGTCAAGCCTTCTTTCCCATCGCGGATTTTGGGTTGCACGGATTGTACATGCTCCAACGTGAAGAATATTGCAAACCATTAAGCGCATTGTGGATCGCGATTAGGCCCCCCAGGATTTCGATCAGCATAGCTTTTATTTGGGCAAGCAATAGAGGAGTCCTCCAGACAAAAACGGTTAAGTAGGAAATTTGCATCTGCTCCAAGGGCCGTGTTGCATGCAACTTGAGGAAATGCGCCTGTTGATGGAGCAAAAGTTGGAGGCAGACAAGCTCTTGCTGCGCGGCTGCAGGTTTGTTGTATGTAGGGTGTGGATGGGCGGCTCGCGTGGTGCTCAAGCTCGCGCATAGTCCAACGGCGGTTTCCCGTGGAGCAACTTACTCCTTCCTTTGGGAGGGTGTATGCTCAAGATCCTTCGAACTTGAACACATGCAGCTGCTGAGGGCTACAGTTGGCTGGAAGCAGATGGGGCGCAGTTCCCTCATTTTGGTTTAGTCCCCGTGGCTTGCTTACATGAACTTTCACCGAAACCCGTGGCTCGCCTCGCAGCGTGACAAACTTAACATGCCTAGTTGTCAGCCTTCCAGGTAGCCCCCCCATGCCAGAGGTGACTGGTACCTGATGTACTTTGAGGCATAAGAAGGTCGAACGCTTTTGACACATGCCCACAAGATCTGCTGGAGCCTTTTGTGGAAACAGAGAGAGGCTGGAACATGATGGTCTCAGGAAGCAGCATTTACAGTGAGTGATTTCGAATTAGAGACTCCCCCATGAGAGTGTGAGGCCGCCTTTTGCAGGTTGGTTTAAAGGAAAACAAAAGGAGCACGCACACACTCCCCTTGTTGGGTTTCCTTATTTTGGCACGTACCCGTACCTAGTTGTAGCGCAGACCGGAGACCTAGGCGCCAGCAGCAGCAGACGCAGCAAGAGATGGAGCGCGAGGCACAGCGCCAGGCTCAGCAGAAGGCGCCAATCGGGCCGTCAGTCAGACTTGGGAGGGTCAAGGGTGATGTGGGAAACGATTTTCTGTGACAAAGACCTGAACATGGCAAACTTTAGTATGCTTCAGTCAAGGAACCCAGAGTCCACTGCAAACGAATGGTATGTGCATGGGAGCATGTCGCGTGACCTTTTTGCTTGCAGAAGCTAGTGGCCAGGAGGGTTTAGACTCTTTTTCAAACCCTTGGCGAATTGCGCTTGTTGAGGGCTTCAGAATGGGCCGCTGAATTCTATAAATGTTGACAACCCGCTCTTCACCTCAGCCACATCAAAAAGCATGTCTATTGCCAATATGCAGTTTGTGAATCCTCACTCCCTCATGCTTGGGCAGTCGGAAGCAGCACCATGTGCTGCCCATCACTTTGATGTGGTCGGACGCTGCAAAACCTCTAGTGGAGAGGAGCACCCATTTGCTTTCTGGATGCTGGGGTTTCGAAGGCCGGTCATACCGCTTATCACCCAGAGAGTTTAGTTTTGTCAAACTGAGGTTCATCCAGGTTGCTTCCCGTTCCGGCATCCATCCACCCTTAACTACAGCCCACCTACACTGCCACTTACGCAGCTTTTTTCAGCCCATGCACAGACAGGGGGGCTTGGGGGTGCTTCATCTAGGCTGCAGCATTGTCACAGCATCTACCGACATGGCTTGAATGTTTCAAAAGAGGTCTCCCCAGTATACAAGCTGCCCTTTTTGGAATATGCACCCGCTTGTTTCTTTCGAACGTTTGCGGCTGTTGGATGGAAAGACGACGCCAATCGGGCCAGAGCCAGCTAGTCTGCACGCCAGTCAGGAGTTGGAAGCCGTCCGCGGCCAGCATGAGGAACACAAGCTGCAGCAGTCCCAGCTCTTGCAGAGACTCGGCGACAAAGTAATCCTTCGGTTGAATTTTGGTTCTGTTGCCCTCTAATTGTCCAAAAGGCAGATAGCTACCAAAGATTGCGTTAAGAGCAAGACCACAAGTTCCTAAAGGTTTTTGGATTCCATCGGTGTATTTGCCGGGGTGGATTGCTTTTCAGAGGCACCACCACCACATCCCAGCTGCTTTGTCTAGGGTTGTGCAAGTCACGAGTGTCTTTGCCCGCTGAAGCTTTCAGTATCAGTGGCAACGTTTGTGACAACGTTCCCACAAAGAACACCTCGGACTGGCAAGTCACAAGAGATGAGTCGATAGCCATGGTCGCTTGTTGCCGCTGTGACAACCTGTGGCAGAGCTGTTCAAGATTTCCGGTGGCATCGTTGTGAATCCCGGCTTCATGCCAATGGTTCGTGATTTTGGAGGAGCCCTTTCTGAGGTTTTGAAATGGTATCGGGTATCCAAACAACAATCAGGCATCCCAGTTGAAGACACTGCAAATTTCGCGTCAGGCACCCAGGATCTGATGGAAGGTTCCAACTCAAGACTCAAAGCTTTGGCACACCAACCATTTGGAGCGGTCTCGGGACCCACACTTAGTGCCCATTTTATTTGAGCACGTCCCCCTCGCAAAATAATCCGAGAGACGATCTGTGAGGCAGCTGCAAGAGCAGCAGAAGGCTCTGCAGCAGCAGCAGCAGGAGCAGATGGAGGCAGGAGCTTTTAGCAGAAGGCTGCAGTTTGAACGAAAGGGACCGCCCAAGTTGCGGTGCCTCTGGTACACAAGCGTCCAGGTCACAAGACATGTTGTGAGTGTGGCCAGCAGAGGAAAGGTTGAACAGATCTGAATCGGAACAGGGGCTTGGGCAAGCAGCAGTTGTCAGGAGTTTGCAACCTTGGCAGATCAAGGCGAACTGCCATCCTTAGCATCACAACTCCCAGGTTTCGGTGCAATATCCACACTCCCGAGCTTGGTCTCCGCACTAAGATCCACGACGCGCACACACACACACACACATAGACAGACTTGGAGATAGATAGATAGATAGATAGATAGATAGATAGATAGATAGATAGATTGCTAGCTAGATAGATAGATAGATAGATAGATAGATAGATAGACAAATAGATAGACAGATAGACAGATAGACAGACAGACAGACAGATAGATAGATAGAGCTAGACAGTTGGGTATGGAGAGAGAGAGAGAGAGTTAGAAAGATAGAGGGACAGAGGGATAGAGAGGTGGAGATATAGAGAGATAGCGAGACAGAGGGATAGAGGGATGGAAGGACAGAGGGATACAGAGATAGAGAGATAGAGGAGATAGATGGATAGAGAGATAGAGAGAGAGAGAGATAGGGAGATAGACAGATTGAACAGATAGAGCGAGAGGGAGAGAGAGAGAGAGGCAGAGAGAGAGAGGCAGAGAGACAGAGAGACAGAGGGGAGAGAGAGGCGCCCGCATGCGCGCACAGTGAGCTGATGGAGTCCACGAGAGATTGTCCTTTGCGAACGCCCTGAGTTGCTGTTATCATTTCTGGGAGAGTGACTAGACAATTGCGTAGTCTTCCCAAGCTTTCCGTCTCTTCCGCCCGGGATGGGTCTGTTTGGGATCCGTTTTGCCTTTGCAGTCTCTTCGGCGGCAGCAAGAGCGAGAACTGGAGCGCCTTAGGCCGCCTCGGGGCATAGGGACTGACCAGATAAGATTAGGAACTAGAGGTGTTGGTGCGAAATGTAGGGTTTTCTAGCTTAAAGCTTTTGTGGAAGGGAACCCGCCGGTGACTTGGTGCTTTGAGTGGGGCCAAATGGATTAAGTCCAAGCAGCGCGGGCACTTAGGGTCGCAGATTGCGAATGTTGGTGTTGCCTTGGAGCATTCAGATCTGAGCGATGCAATCCAAAAGAATAGAACTTGCAATCATGATGTGTCCAATGGTCAACATATCATATGGGCGTGGCTTAAAATTTAAGAGCCAGGGTTACGCAGGATTTAATCTTTGGTTCCATTTACCAAGGCGCCATTTTGGGTACCTATGTTCGAGCCACAGCCATATTATGTCAACATCATCGTTTGGCGAAGTGGGTACAAGGCATGCAGTGCTCTTCCGGCAGGCAGCAGCAAGAGGTAGCTTCAGCTCGGGGCCCAGCAGCTGCGCGTTGCTTTTTTGAGGGATGCTGGTAGCCTGGTAACAAACATATTGCCAGGATCTGATACCAGATTTCGCATTGGTAACGGGTCACTGGGTGCTCATGTTTTCGGCTCTTTGTTTAGCTTTTGTGGGTTGTTCTGATAGGCTTGCACTGTTGCGCGGACACCTCTACCATCGAACCTGAGGCTCACCAAAACTCAAGGAAGGGAGCTGCAAGGTTCAACGCTGTACGCTTGGGCCGAGTTGTAAATTGGAACTAACGAGATTGGATGATTCCGGGACGCTTAAAGAAGCTGCTTTGGGAACTAGCTATGCTGAGGGATTCTGCCAAGGGAATCATTGGATGCGACACATGCCGCACCTCAGGCGATGGCCAAACACGAGCCGCAGCCGCCGCGAGCCACAGCGGGGAGTGGATTTTCTGGCAGCTTCATAGGCTCTTTGAGGTGGGTTTGAAAGAGAGGTGACTCTGGTTTTGGCTGGGGTTCTATTCACTTACCACTGGTTTGTCCAAAAGAACGCCAGGAACCAGCTGTTTCAGGTGGTTTGTAAAGCAAGCTGGGCAAACCAGCCATTGGTAAAGGTTTTCAAGTCTGGGATTACACCCTTAATTTAAAGCTTCGGTTTTTAGCGTTCTGTCAGAGGTGATTTTTTGCCGATGCAGTTGCCCCGGTGCTTGTCTTCGGGCGCACTCAGACCAAAAGCTCACTTCACATGATCAAGTGACTGGTCTTTGACCTGGGGGAGGACAAGTGACGGGCATTTCTCTTCCATCTTCCAGTTGAAATCGAACAGGGCATACACATTGCAGGGTCTTGGGGGGCAACAGATTCTGAAGGGGTATTGATAGCGTATCATCCAGAGTCCAGTTGCGCGTGACCAGCATGCAAGCCAAGTACTGAGCAAACAGAGCCTTTCAAACCAGTGTTCCAACAACTTGGCTTGCTTCGAACATGTAATCGTGCTGTCCGGAACCTTGTGACGCTTTGGCATTCCATGGATTGATGTTGGAAGCCGAGGCCAAGGACGCGGCCTGGCACTTAGACCTGGGAAATTGGAGGTCTTGCAGAACTTGCATTCCGACACGTGCCGTCAGAGTTGCACTTTGGCAGCCAATTGCCCCCAGAAAACTTTGACAACCATGGAATTTCGGGTTCTTACTGAATAAACCACGCTCATGACATATGAGTTTGTCCAAAGTGGATTCCGCTTCATACCCCGAAGGTGCCCTAGAACTCTAGGCACAAGTCCGGAGTCATCCCTCAAGCACTCCCTGGCTATTTGTTTGAGATGGAGTTAGCATGCAGTGGCTGTTGCGGCAAAACCAAAGCATTTGGGACACAACCACGACAGTCACAAGCTTCTAGAGAAGCAATATCATTCTCACCACCAGATTGACCCGTTGCGAACGCAGGGCACTTTTTAGTTCGAGGGCCGGATGCCGGAAATATCCACTGCTTCCAATTTTGGGCTCAAGTTCCTCGGAACTTCTTGTGCTCTTGTGGAGACATCGGCAACTCTTGGGTTTCCACTGTTCTTGACGCCATGACGGTTGATGCCATGAAGGTTGACGCCAAGGCTGACTCCAGCGTGCTTGTGCTGAAGGTGGGCACCTCCACCATTATGACTTCGGATGAACGAGGACAGCGCGTCAACGTGGCCAACCTCTCCAGACTAGTGGAAGTGATTTCTGACTTGATCCACAAGAACTACAAGGTCGTATTGGTTTCCTCAGGACAGGCGCACTTAGATGGCATGCGTCAAATGCAGCAAGTTGCCATCATGTTAGTTTCTTCTTTATTTGTTTTTGTTCCGGTTGTTTGCTTAAACAACTGGCCAGCTGAAGAGGGCTTTTGCATTCAAAACCATGTGAACACGAGCGAGCTCCATCCCGGCAAAGACAGCCATTGGAGAAAATTGCAGTCAACTGCCATCAATTTTCATGGGAATACCATCAAAAAGAAAAGCTTGGCGGGCGCACATTCTCATGTAAATGATTCCCACCAAAGGGTGAGTTGTTCAGTGGCAGCCTTTTCCTTGTTGGCTTTTTGGCTTGGATTACTTGACCCCAGAAGGGTCAACCCCAAGAAAGTTGGATTTGGCTATCTTTGGGTGTGTCTTTTCTGTTGGGGCCCCGCAACAAAAATGTGGTTTTCCTCTTGGTTTTCCGCTGGAAGCCATATACCAACGGGGGGGTTTTCGGGTTTTCCCTTGAACGAGACGCCCGGAGCCGGGGTAGGAGCTGTCGGCATGGGCTGCCGGGAGCTGGGCCTTGAGAAGAAGCCAACTGACCCGGAGATGAAGCGCGCGGTGGCGGGGGTGGGCCAGAGCCGCAGCCCGGCAGAGCCCGGCGCGCGGAGCGGCGTCCAAGTTGTTTTGGGGCGGAGTTTCGGCTTTCCCGTTGGGGAACCAAACTTACCCGTGGTCACTGTTTTTCTTTTTGCATTCCGGTCGAGGCAGTAGATTCTTACGAATCTGGCAAAATTCCGGTTCTCCTGTTTTACTTAACTGACGCAGTGAAAGCAAAACAACAAGTCCTCCCCCCATTTCCCCATGGTGGCAGAGGCATCATGCGCATCTACTCAGAGCTCTTCGAGACGGTGGGCGTTCGCGTGGCGCAGTTGCTGGTTAGCCAGCGTGACTTCCTGGAGCCGCGGCAGCACTCAGCAAGACACACCTCTTGTTGTTCTTTCATCCCGAACAGCTAAAGGCTATGGCGTCTCTGCCCAAACAAAAACTCCGGAGTGGTCCGCAGCAGCTCTGAAGAAGGTTGTGGGGTTTATGGAAGGTTCCGGGAAGTTGCTGGGCAGGTCCCGGAGGGTTGCAGAAAGTTCCATGGATTCCATGGCATGGGGTTCCATGGAGCGGTTGCTGGACAGGGTTTCGGAGGGTTCCGGAATTACATGGAGCGGTTCCTACGGCTACGGAGGTTTCCCAAGGGTTTCGGAAGGTCCAAGGGTTCTATGGAAGGGTTGCTGAACAGGGTTCCGGAGGGTTGCGTGAAGCAGTTGCAGGATTGGGTTCCTGTTGGTATGGAGCAGTGGGGTTCAGAGTGGTTCGGAGCTGCTGCAGGTTGGGTTCACCCAAGAGTTGCGGGGGTTGCTCTTGGGGATGCCACCTGCTTTGATCCCTAAACAGAATGCGGAAGGTACGGCACATTTTGAATTGTCAAGTGCAAGCAGGCTTCAGGATAAGGCTGGTTCCAATCTCAATGAATCGACCCGTGTTTGTTCAGAGAAGCTCGCAAAGACAGCCACGTGGTCTGGGGCAGATTCCGGTAGGGCCGGTAGGGTTCCAGAGAGGTTCCGGGGCTATGGGACTCTGCTTCTTTTTTCCCCAACAGCTGAAAGTTTTTGAAGTTGTGGGGTCTCTGCCCAAACAGGCTCTGGGGTGGTTTGGGGGAGTTCTGATCTGCTGTTGGTGATACCTCGGCTTCTTTTTCTGAGAGTCTCGTTCAGTTCTGAGGAACAGCAGCGCTGGACCGAGATCCGAAACACCATCGAAGCCTGCCTCCAGGCGGGCGTTGTTCCCATCATCAACGAGAACGACACCACCAACACGGATGGCACCTGGGACCAAACAGTTCGAGCGTGTATGTTTTGCTAAGTTTCTAAATATGCTTGATAGCAAGTGTTTTCTTTGGGCAGGGCTTGGTCTCCCAATTTTGAGAGACCCCATGTATGTTGGGCAGGCGGCATTTTGTTTGGCGTCTTTGGCAAGAGCTTGGCTGTTTTGGCGCGTGAGGGCTCTCGAGCACTGGCACTGGTGTGCTTGGGTGTTTGTGACTGGATCTGAGGGCCGGTGGGGTGAGATCTGAGTGATGGCCCTCCAGAACTGAGACTGTGGCGTTGGATTTGGGATTCTTGGAAGGAACCACCAGGCTTCGGAGTAGTCGGTACTCAGAAGATGGAGCTTGCGATGCATGGAATGGATAAACTGGTAAGCAGTGATCCCAGGCTGGCTAGTGCTCTTGATGAATAACGGGATAATGCCTCCTCCAGCTCTCCAGCTAGACAATCATCTGGGTATGTGTCAGAAAACACCCCCCCCCCTTCACACAAAGCACCCCTTTTTTAACCATCCCCAAATGTGTCCTCAGGTGTGACACCCATTTGAGCCAGCAGTGTTGGGATGGATTTTGGAACCAACCCCGAACCTGATTTCTATTGCCTCTTCAGGCTTCTCGTGTTTGCTCAGTATGGGAAACAGACTCAGAGTGTTTGAGCGCCCTTTGGTTCAGGCATGAGGGCTCTACACATTGTCGAACAATTTGGCCCCTGCCCTGGCGCCCCCGCCCGCCTCCCCCTCCCAGAGATGCCAAAATAATTTTCAGCCCCGAGGCATGCGCTTCGGGGACAACGACAACCTGGCGGCGCTGACCGCCGTGCAGCTGCAAGCCGACGGGGTGTTCTTGTTCACAGACGTGGACTACCTCTACACCGCCAACCCCAACGCCACGAGACTGAGATGGCGTATTGGTGAGAAACGGGGGGGCCGGGAGCCATTTGCAATGGAAACCTGTGCAACGAAGGCCTAATTGCTTGGGGCCATGCGAGGTGTGAAGCCATGTGGGCTGAAAAAAATACCCCGCGCCTTTTCGTTCTGTAAGGGGGCGTCCCTTAACTTGTTTCGCAGGCCAAAACCATTGTAAACCGATACAGAGGAATAAAAACCGATACCCCCAGAAGCCATGAAGACACACATCAGGTCCAAGTTGTCAAGCCAAGATCGCGGAATCGTAAATTTGCAGGGCCCAAACCGATACCCAAACCGATACCCAACCGATACCCAACTCAGTGGCCGCCACGCCGAATCCAACCAGCTGCCCTGCAGCCTTCCCTGGAGCTGCCAAAATGCACTTTGTGTACCACATTTGTACTGAAAAACTTACTTGCGCTGAAAAGCAGCGATTTTCGACCCGGAGCTGCCAAAGTCTACTGCGCATACTACTGAAAAGTTGCGACTTTCCAGCTGGAGCTGCCAAAATGTACTTTGCGTACTACACTTGTACTGAAAAGTTGCGACTTTCCAGCTGGAGCTGGGAGCTGGCAGAGTGTACTTCGCATACTACACTTGTACGGAAAAGTCACGACTTTCGAGATAGAGCTGCCAAAACACTGCAAACCGATGCAGAGGAAAAAACGATACTGACCGACACTAGGGCATAAGGATACAAGGGTTGTCCACGGGGTTGTTTTTTCAACCCATGTGAAACCGGTTTTCAGCGCAGGCTCGGTCCATTCCTCTTCGCAAATGTCCGGCTGTCCGGTTCTTTCCAGGGTTGGCTGCAACATGGGCTTCCCAACAACCAGGCCTTGTCAACGATGTCAGCAATCACGCAAAGCAGCACTCAGACATTCTGGTGGCACCAGCTTACCCTTCTGCTTTGGCAGGGTTTTACTGTTAAAACTGGTCAACCCCCTAAAAAAGGCTTCCTTGATGTTCCATTTTTTCGGGTCAGAGGGCCGATGTTGAGCTTCCCGTATAACGAGGTGGACCCCACTGCAGAGCCCATGAAGGTGGTCAGCGAGGCCTTCGAGCTGAAGGTGGACACCCGAGAGCCAGGCGACTCTTTGCTTCTGGCGGCGAAACCGGCAAAACCGATGAGATCCCATTTTGGGGTAGACGCACCACCCATTTTAGAACCTATGTTAGTGGGGATTGGGATGTTCACTGGGGGTACGGGGTTTGACCATGGCCATGTCCGAAACCCGAAGTTCGCCAAAAGGCGGTCCCTGGGATGTGCTGTTCCTTGTCGGTGCTCCTTTTCTTCTTTGATTGGGGACCGGGGTTTGGTTGTGAATGCGAGGTTGCTGAATGGCTGTGCTTCAGGGGGACGACCCTTCGACACGGTTCCAGAGACCGCAGCCAGAATCACAACGTGCTTGATTGCGCACAACTTTGTTGCAAATGGATGCTTCCTAAGCTCGGACGCATGTCGGAAAACATATTTTAACTTGTTCACCTTCTTTTCAACCAAGAGGGCTCCAGGAAGCATCCACAATGGCAAATCCCTGTTTTGGCAACCACCTTGATTCATGGCACAAATGCTGCCTGCCCTTGGCTCACGCTGAGACAAGCAAAGAGGTGGGTAGCTACGTTTGAGGTGTATGATGAACATAGTATCTTGATCTACATCCTAATCACACAAATTCAGTTGATTTGGCGGCCAAGCAATTCGTGGCGCCAGCGTTGCTCAGTTTGTTGAATGTCGGAGGCCACAGAGAGGCGTGATTGTTGTGCAACCTCACGTATGCCTCCAAACGAGCAATGCCCAAAGCCTGCCATGTCCAGGCCCACGATTCATCCAACTGCTGTACAGATGTATGCATAATTAGCCCAACAAAGCAAGAACATGGGCAAGGGCTTGAAACAGCATGCTGAACTTGAACCGAACCACCACAACGAGGGAAGCTGAGCATTCTACCCTTGAGGGTTGATTCCAGGCACTGCGCTTGGAACCGGGGGCATGGGCACCAAGATCGCAGCCGCACGGACCGCCCACTGCGCGGGCATCCCCTGCGGAATTTTGCACGGCAAGCACCCGGAGCGCATCTACAGCTTCCTGTCGGCTTTGGAGGACAGGCGCATGAATCCACGGTCCCCTTGTGATTGATGGTTGCTGGCTTCATGTTGGACGCCTTCATGAAGTCCGTGCAATCATTCTCACATCACCCTCTGTGCCACATCCAGCCTGCTGACAAGAGTCTGTCATTTTCAATCTAGTTATTTTTGCTGACTTTCAGGAAGAAACATATCAGCCCCCCGGAGACCCGTGCCCCCTTCGATGTCTGACTCAGTGTAGCTTAGACCCCCGGGAAGGTTCTCAGAACCCCCCTCCCCTGTGTGGCTCCACAGGGAAGGCTAGGCGGAGGACCACGTGCAACAGCACAACCAAACGTCGGCCATGTTTCCCCCTCGACACGCATGAACTTCTTCGAGACCAGGATGGGCCTCTTGAATTAACATGGCAGCAAAATTGGACATGCCTTCATTGAAGTTTCCTTGACCAGGGCGCAACACCTTGCAAGGTTTCCAGCTTTGTCAACAAGAAGCGAGCCTCAAACTAAGATGTCAAAGCAAGGGCATACTCTAGGCCCCCAGCAAGCAGGCCTTTGACTCTGGCCCTCCAAAGGACTGTTAAAAAATGCGTTCGTTGGCTTCCACGCTGGTGTGAGGTCACATGGGCACACGTAGTTGTGAGCGCAGAGAAGCGTTTGTGTTCGATTTGTGTTCGCTTGAGATCGAATTGTGTTGATACTTGAGCGTCGCCCGTCGTAGAAAGGGCAGCCTTCTGAAAGGTAGCGTCAGCAGGGCCAGATCGGTGAGCGCGCAGCACGCGGCCTGTGAATGCCTCATAGCGCCGTGGCTCTTTTTGCAACTTTCAGGCACCATTGCTCCACATGATCTATGGGAGCGCCATTGTTCCTCAGACTTGCTCGGGAGGCCCAAGGAGCGCCCTTGCCGCCCTCAGACTACAAGGGTGCCAACCCTCCTCAAGGCTTGAAAGCGCAGCCCTTCACCGGCGCCGCAAGAGAAGCTCGCGACGCGCCTTGCGTTTGTTTGAGACACCTACGGGCGCGGTTTGCCCGCACTTCTCAATGCGTTGGGTTGAACAGGAGCATGTCGCACAAGGCGCAAGTGCATCCAACCCGGGAGGCATGCCTCCAGAAGAAAAGCTGAACGTTAAAGGCCGCACGCGAGACCTTCTTTGAGAACCGTTTCTAAGAACACATCGTTCCTCATTCTCAGAACCGGTTCTGAGAACCCGGTTTGAGATTCTAAGAACCCACTTAGAACCCGTTTTAGGTTCTGAGGCGGTTCTAAGAACCCTTTTGGGCGCAAGTTATAAGAACTACCCCGCAGGTTCGCCACGGAGAAGGTTCGCTCAGAAGCCAGTCCTGGCACTGGGCCAGTCAGATCTCAGTGCTTGACACAGGGTGTTAATTCTGCAAGCTTGTGATCAGGAAAGGGTCAGAAACACAGCCACCTGGCTACGTCCGGCTTGAAGAGGCTGGAGTCCATACGCCTGTCCTGTCTTAAGTTTCAAGTCGGCTGACGTGCGTTGATGGACGGATCGAACAGAAGCCCTTTCTGCGCCAACTTTCACGCCAGTCGTCCCAGCTTCGACTTTAGTAGTCTGGACAGCCTCCAAATTCGAACCCAATGACGTCGGGTATTGGCGCCTAACAAAGTTGGCTTCAAAGTGCTAAAGAGCTTAGGCGTTCCATGCCTGCGACCCTTCAAAGTAAAAGGTCGGAAGAAGGTTAGCCTGTCCGAGGCTTGCTTTGTTTGACGCCCCGCTGTCGGTGGACATTGAGATTAAGCCTTGCCGGTGTTTCAGCGGTCAGTTCGAAGTTGTTGCAACCATGACATGGCAGATTGCTGGAGCTGTACCGCTTTTTGAGTCGTTAGAGGTGTTAGAGGCGCTCTGTTTCAGATAAGGAGGGGCGAGCAGCTTGCCTGTTCTTAAGCAAACTGACGCGCAGTGCTCCTTAACAACCCGGGCGAGCGTGGGCAAGCGTAGCTTAGCACGTTCTTCGATAGGTTTACAGGCTCATGTTGCTCAACTCAACCACAGCCTGCGCGTTGGGCACTCCTAAGCTCAATTCTTCTGCATGAGGCCTTCGCATCACACAGCCACGGGTGACGCAAAATCGGGCGGCGGCTCTCCGGGGGGGATTCGCTTCTACCCTAACTTTGTTGTGCTCTTGTACAACCAGGACTCAGATTCTGCGCCCCAGCTTTTGGTGCGAACTTTGGTTCGTGTGTTGTCGGATACTCATAGTGCTTGAGTTGCTTGAGGGATCCAGCGAGTGTTGCGAGGGCGTTGACAATGTATAGCCCACAGAGCTCACAGCCACTTAGCCTTCGGAATTTGCTTTCTTGTTTACGAGGGCAGCGAGCACTAGAAATTGTGGGATCAAGCACATCGCCGTTTTGCCAAAACAGCTGCATGCAAAAACAGACAATGTTTGAAGGGTTTGGGCTCTCTGACCGGTCAGCTGCGCCACTGTCTAAACCCCAGGTGAGTGGATTTTAAGTAGGTGACAGGCCCGACCACCTTTGATTCTTCGCATCATCTTGGGTCGAGTCGACTTTTGGTACCTTTGGATTTCCGGCCTACGGCCATTGGCCCCAGGACCTTGCCGGCCGGGTTTCGAGCACCACTCATTTAAGCTTAGCTTCTTTTGGAGTGATGTTCAAAAATGTTCAAAGGGGAAATATGGGCGTTCCTCAAAATGAGGGATCCCCTTTTGGCTTGGTTTGAAGAGGAAACCAAAAGCGACCTCCTGGAGGGGTCCCTGATTTTGAGAAGAACAACGTACAGCGAGTCCTGTGTGATGTCTTTTTTGGCAGGACGAGGCGGAGTCCACGCAGTGCAAATCCAGCTCCGATTCCGTGATCAGCGATGCCAGCGAGGATGATTTCAAAACACGCAATGGTTCAACATGGTTCAAACAAGGAAGCCATCGTTTTTTCCCCTTGAAACTTGGAGGGTGGGCTTGACAAGGGCCCGGCGGAAACGGGCGAAGAATCGAATAATCGAACAATCGGACACTTCTTTAAATAAAAATATATATATATATATATATATATATATAAACTCATGTTTGTTTTCCCTGTGCCGGGGTCTGAAGCGAGAACAAAACCGAGGAGCCCATGGGCACCTTCTTCGAGGCGCCCGAGGGCGAGCAGGCCTCGGAGAGGGAGCGCTGGATTCTGAGCCTGCCAGTGGTCGGCGATGCGCGCCTCGCTTGGAACATCCATAGCCGGGTCCCCCTTTTTGGTTGGCTTGAACGCAACAACCAACAGAACACCAATCGTTTTGGGTCCCCGCATTTTCGAGCAAACGCAAATGATGGAAAGCGGTGGGGATTTTTGTCTTGGCTTTCCTTTGGAAGCAATGCAAAGGCAAGTCCTCTTTGGTTGCTGGGAGTTCATGTGCCATGGATAAGCTGATTGCTTCGAGCCTTAGGAAGATAACTGCGCACGAGCTGGCGCGGGATGACGTGCGGCAAGCGATCATGACCGCTGCTGCCAAGCAGATGGACGGATGGAAGAGCCTGTCAGGCACAGGACATCATGGAGGCGTCCGAGTCTACCGCGACACCGTAGAAATTGCTCGCGTCCAGGTCGTGTTGGATGAGGCAGGCGCTTGCAGCCTGCCCAATGACCCGGAGCAAGCAATGGTTTTGACGCCCGCGGTAGAGGCGCAGTAGACGCTGACTCTAATCTATGATTGTTCTCCCGGACCCAATGTAGAAATGCCATGGGTTGGAACGGCCTGGCATCAATACTTTAACACCCGGCTTGAGACCGAACTGCTAGTCGTTCAGTTTCAGGCAGGTTGGCTCCCATGTGACCGGTTCAAGATCATGTAGCAATGGCCTCGGTTTCTCTCCTCGGGCCGATTTTCGTCAGTTTGCAGGGAGCTGGCCATTGCACGTTGGCGTCGGATGGGGTTCCGAGCTGATCGGCCGTATGCTTAACAACTGCCCCGCTGTGCCCTGCTAAACCAACGCAGGCGCTACAGTTGGAAGCACCTGTTGTTTTGCAAAGATGGCCTTCCATTCAATCAAATCAAGCATGTGGAGGACCTTTGACAACCACAGGTGCTGCAGTGAATTGCATGTCCAATCTCTTGTGCAGCTCTCCGACTTGACCAATCCTCTTGTTCTTTGTACAGCTTACGTGGGTCGGAGGTTGCAGCATTCCGCAGCCCACAACAAGGGCTGCCCATGCATTTGCGGGCCTTGCTCTCTTAAGGTTCACGTTGTGCAGTGAGACACAGGCCGTGCTACGCACAGGATCAGAATTGCACAGTCAAAAAGCGTTGGCGCAAGCAGAGTCAGGGCCGAATGTTTTTTTTGACGTTTCCAAAGCAATTATGAGGCAGGCATGCTTCGTGTCAAGTGCTTCCCATTTGGGAGAGATATCAGCACGCAACAAGAACAACGTAGATGTGTGCTGAGGAGCCTGTGAACTTGACATTTAGTTGGGAACAACTTGTTCGATCTTTAGACGAGCGGGGCTCCCAGTTGGTCATGTATGTGAAAGGTTTATTTTTTTTCCTGCAGAACCGGGTCTCAAGATTGGCTTTTGACATGGGCACTATGCAGCCCCATCAATTTGATCCAGAGATAGTTGCACCCGGGTTCCACACAGAAAGGTCAAAAGTGTAAAGCTTGTGTTGTTGCTTCAAGAGAGAGTTCTGCTCTTGACAATGGCGGGAACCATCCTCCCTCCTGGCATTCACCGCTCAGGCATGATTGGGAAGGAGGGGAGGAATGAGTGAGAACAGGATGTTCCGATCAATCACGAAATCAGGAACTGCAGCAACTACTAATCTGGCTCAGCCGACGTGCAAAAGCTTGCAACAACTTGCCAACCCCTTACCCACTTGTCAAAGTTCCAATGCCCGAGGCCAAAGAAATTGCTGCGGAAGCCCACCGACGGCACGCTGAAATTCCAGGCTGGTGAGGCGCGTCGGATAGCGATGTTGGATAGGCGGCTTGCGCACGTGGGATGGGCCGAAACATGAGACGGTTTTTCTCTGACCTCGTTTTCGAGCCATCCAAAAGGAAGCCCAGAATTCGCTGCAACCCCGGAATGAGTTTGGCTTCGGGTGATGGGGCCTGAATGTTGAGGGTGGGCAACACCGCGACTTGATGTGTAGCGCGCACACCTTACACATAGTTTTGAACCAGACATCAACCCCTTTTGATGCTTGTACAACTGTTCCCTGGCGAATACCTTGGAACATGCGTGGAGAACAAACCCATGGTTTGACAGTGTTTGGCAACTGGGTATGGGTTTTGACAGATAGCTGCATCAGTTTGCTGAAGCTGACAGACAACCCTTGGTCCCCCCGAGCATGCCAGAATCTGAGTTCTTTGAAAACAGGGAACGCATTCCCAGTGCGGCCCCAACGGCTATCAAATGGTTGAAGTAAACTCCTTCGGGCCATTTGTGTTTTCTTTTCTTTTTTGCGGGGGGGCATTTCATGGGCGTTGCGGGGGCCGGCGGCTGGGTCGGCGAGTCGTTTGTTTGGCTGGCCCGGCCTCAGCCTTCCTGCACACAGATGATGCAAGAACAAAACCGAAGCCGCGCGCTATGTTGCTAGCATATTCCTCGTTGTGCTCGTCATGAAAGGAGGAAAAGGCGGCGAGTGGTCAAGCACTGGTCTCGCTACTATTTCAAATTCAGGGTTTGGCAGATGGCAAACATATTAACAACAGCACGGGAAGAGGATAACAGTTGAACCACACAGGCATTGTTGGCTTTTTAAGGGACAACAGGTCAACGGGTAGTTTGCTTTCTGCAAAGGAGATGGGTAAGGACATGTAAGGACCAGGCAATAGAGAGCTGGATTTCACTCTCCTGGTGAACAGGATATTTGGATGCGCCAGGAAAGACATACGCCATTTCGTTCCTTCATGCCTCGATGGCAACTCACGGTTGGGCAGATCAGGTCTAAACTTCAAGGCAAGGGGCACGCCCATCAGTGCAGGGAGCTCATTCTTCGGCCTAAAAGGGACTGTGTGTGTGTGCTCGCTCAAAATTCAGGCCCCCTCAGAATTGTTGTCCAGCACACTTCGATGCAGCCCAAAGGGTTCAAATCTTCTCAAATTTCAAGGCTGAACATATCAGCATGCCCCCTTTTTGCTCGGAGCCGCGTCGATTGCATGTTGCTGGATTCGCAGGCCCGGAGCCACCCGGCGCTGCACGCAGCGATGTCGCAGATGGCGGCGTTGCTGCGCGCCGGGGGCCCAGGGGGCCTGGGCACAGGGCCCACCCGGCTGGGGGCGGCTTGACAGGATCGGACTGGCGGGGTGAACTGGGAGGCTCGGGCTTGTTGGACTTGTTTGACTTGTCGTGACCAAAAAGACGTCGACGCAGCCGTTAATTGCCCATCAAGCTGGGTCCAGCATGGTTCAGGTATGGCTGCCTTGACACCTAGGGAAGCCAATGGTCGTAGTTTTTCCCAGTCAGTGGGCATGCCCATGTGGATCCAAACGGGCACTTTGGCCCCTTCCAAAATGGTTGGTATCCCAACAGTTTGCCTTAAGCGTGAAAGGTCTTTGCTTGTCATTGGTCTTGGCATAGTTCCAACCTGTTGCCATGTCGAAGACGATGACGTTCCGACTCGGGGTATCCAGGGCTTCGTGCTGGGCTTTCTTTTGACGATCCTTGAAGTACACACACACACACAAGAGCAAGTCGGGCTTACTCGCCCAAAGCAGCCGGCGTAGTCTTCAGGCAGCCCAACCATCAGCAGCTTGGAGCTGAGGGAGCCAAATTAATTTAATAAACTCAAAGGCCCAGCCAGTGAATCTTATCCCCAGATCATTATTAGTTCACCTGGCAGATCAACAGGTGGATCTTTCCCTCGAAAGGGATGCCGCCAAAAGCTCATGTTGACACGCTCATGCTTGCCGAGAGAGATATGACTGCCCCTTCGGTATCAGATCCTGTTTGGCCCTGCTAGTTCCGTGAAATGGAGTCCTGTTGCGAATGGTTGGCCGCAGAGCTGCCCACAGCAGTCGCGCCTGGGCACGCTGCCAGTGGTACATTGCTGGCAACTCGGAGCAACGCATTGTTTTGGCTGGATGCTTGAAGGGTTGAATGTGGTGCAATCATGTGCAATGGCAATTATCCACAGCTGATATCTGAAAGACTCCAATACTGCATTCATCTGGCCGGTCCAGCCAGCGCCCCAACGTCGGTGGATCGCTTCATGCAACTTGTTCGGACACCGAGGTTGCCAAAGAGCGCGAGCAGTGCATGGCAGAGTTCGAGAAGCCCAAGCCTCGGTCGAAGGAGATAGTCTCCGGAATCGCAGAAGCTCCTTCCTTTTGCGTATGGGTCAAACTTGGCGGACCCAACAAAGACAAATGGTTCATTCAATCACAGACCCGTTGGGTCATAGGTATCAGTCGTGTGAATGTGTCAAACGAAAAAGGCTGGGACCATATATGTGAGATTGAATCTGCAACATGCACAGTCGCTGTTCCCGTTACAGCGCAACAAGTTTTCTTTAGAACAAGATCTGCACAGTATGGAACTTTATGGCAGCGCCATCGACATGCTATCCATTGCTATCTTTGAAGGAAGGTCTCACTGCTATTGGGGCGGGGGCTTATGACATCAGGCAGTTCCAGCCCCCGGGGGTGCTTGGCCTGGGGACCTGGAACGTAGAGATTCCATCCTTGCCATTCCGAAATTCACGTCGCCTGATTTGGATCGCCCAAGGAGAATGACATGTCGTGGTTGCGCATGCATTGGCGTCCTCCGGCTTGTCTTCGAAGGATGAGAAGCCAGTTCCCCAAAAGCCATTTGAGATCTGCCCTGAAAGTTAGCCAGCCGAGCAAACGGGCCTTTGCCCAACAGGAGCAACCCTCTGAGACAAGCCTCAGTTTCGGAGTCGGCTTCGACTGGCGCGCAGGTTTCATGAGGAGACCTTTGAGGATCTCGAAGCAGAGCCGGCGCCTCAATGCGCAGTCTGCAGTCTGTAGGCTGGGGTAGCTAAAAGAGCGGATACGGAGAACCAAGAGCTGCCAGTGGCATCAGCGAGTTGACAGAGATACGCTTCTGAATCAGATGGTTGGGACTGTCTCTGGGGCCCTGAGCGGAGTTTTCCAGATCCAACTAGCCTGCATCAAAGGAGAAAGGAGGCTTGAGCTTGTGATGCGTTAACGATTTATGACAATGCTTGCCCACGGGGCAAAACACCTGAGTGTTTCAATGGAGATAGTAGCAACTCTTGCTGGAGGCTTGAGGCAACCATACCCAATATATAGGACCAGTGGGCGTGACCTCCATAAGGAGTCTTGTGAGTACAGGCAAGGCACCATGTTATGCCAGTCGTTTCTGCAGTACTCTAAAAGGGCAGTTGACCAACCCTTCAAAGCTCGCAATTGAGATGTCTAGAGATGCAGCTTGGCATTTTGAAGTTGCTGCTAGATGTGAAACTGGAGCTAAATCGCAGGCGAGATGGCTGGAAGCGCGAGGTGCTGATGCTCTCGCAGCAGGCGTTTCGGGATCAAACTGCAAACTTCATTGGCGGTACCCATCCAGGAACAGCCATACCCTTGGACTCTAATGCGTTTTTACTTTTAGATGGAGGGATGTGTGACACATCTCAGTGAACAACTCGAGCTTTGGCAAGGGGACTGAACCACGGCGCGTGTCCACAGGCAACCTCTGGACCATTATTGTC